TGAGTCTTGTTCCCAAGTGAAACTTCCTTTCCAAGAATTCTTCAAACAAAGCCACTTGCTCGAGTTCTTCTGTAGTGGACTTGGTTTCATCTGTCTCCTTCGGTACCTGAAAGTATCTCGGCACCTGGTGGGATTTTGACAACTCCTCGCCTTTATCATACTCATTGCTTAGGGAGAAGGCGTCAGTTCTGTAATTGATATTTACTGAGATCCTTCCCTTTGTTGATGGAAACCGACACAACGATCATTTCTCTTGCTGCCGGTTGATCTCCTCTTATCTACTTGATTCCTTCCGGGGTCGGAAATTTCAACAACTAATGATATGTTGAGGGCACAACCTTTATCTCATGTATCCACGGCCTTCCGAGGATTATGTTGTAACCCATGTTGTTGTCTACCACTTCGAATAAGGTGGTTTTAGTTACCTCTTCGGCATTTGTGGGAAGCAGGATCTCTCCTCGGGTTGTCATACTTGCCAAGTTGAACCGGTCAAGGAGCTTGGTTGCTGGAATGATGCTTCCGGTTAACTTTGTTTGCTCCAGCACTCTCCATTGAATGATGTTGGCTGAGCTTCCTGGGTCAACCAAAACACGCTTAATCTTAAAATCTAAGACATTGAGAGAAATTAACATAGCATCATTATGTGGCAGAAGAAGTTCGTTGGCGTCTTCCTCTGTGAAGGTAATGTCATCTTCTAGGACTTTCCGGAGTCTCTTGTTATGGGTCACTGAATCTTTGTTTTCTTGGCTGCTGAGAAGGTTACGCAATTGATTTCATTCCCTCAAAAAATCATGTTGATAGTCAACCGTGGAGGGTCTTCTACTATCTTCGAAGGCTTCGCATTGTCTCGGCTACGACCGTAATTATTCTTGGCTCGGTCGCTCAAGAATTACCTGAGATGGACATGTTAAACAACGTCACCATCTCCTCACGCAGATGCTGACAGTCCCAAGTTCTGTGGTCATGAGTCCTATGATACTCGGACCACAGGTTAGGATCCCTCTGGCTGGGATCAGATCTGATTGGCTTCGGGAATCGTGCTTCTTTGATATTCCTCATTGTTGATACAAATTCCACTACGTTGATGTTGAAATTGTAATCCGACAACTTGGGATATGTGGAATCCCAAGCCCCTCATACCTATTTTTCTTGTACCGATCTATTTCTAGCCATGGTCAGTTCTTCTATCGGGAGCCAATATATCTGACAACTGGAATCATTTTCTTTCACGCCCTTCGATCCTCTCGTATGGTAGGAAACGTCCTTTAGAAGATCGCTGGTCTATATCGAAATCGTTTTTGAACTTCTCCTAATTCTTGTTTCGGTCATGTCCCTTGGTTGATATCGGGAACCCGAGATGATCATCTTCTGTCCTTATTTTTGACTCATAACGGTTATGAACAACCGCCCGCGTAGTCACTTGGTATTAGAGCAGGCTTTCCTTCAACTTTCGGGAGGCATTGGAACTCCTTGGATTCAAACCCTTTGTGAATGCCTCTGTTGCCCACTCATCTGATACGACCTCTAATAGCATTCTTCTTTCTGGAACCTGATCATGAACTCCCGCAACAATTCGGACTTACCTTGGGTGATCCTAATATGTTCGCCTTCTTGGCCTGGACCTTTCTAGCCCCGGCATGGGCCTTTATGAAGAAATCTACAAGCATCTCAAAAGAGTCAATTGAATGTTCGGGTAAGAATGAATACCATGTCAGGGCCCCCTTTTTTTAGGGTTTCTCCGAACTTCTTCAGCAGAATCGATTCGATCTCATATTGAGCCAAATCGTTTCCTTTACAACCGTGGTATATGTTATGATGTGCTCTTGCAGGTCCGAAATCCTATCGTATTTCGGTATATCTGGCATCTTGAACCTCTTCGGAATTAACTCTGGTGTTGCACTTGTTTTAAACGGCAACAAGAACAACAGTAACAATAACAACCCAGTAGAATCCCACTAGTGGGGTCTGGGAAGGTATGGTGTATGCAGACTGTACCCCTACCCCGGGGGGTAGGGAGACTATTTTCGGGAGACCCTCAGCTCAACAGACGAGACAATAATATCAGAAAAGAACAAAGTATAAATCTGTAACAAGAAACGAAACCAGAAAAATAATAATCAGCAATCGAACGAACATCAAATAGGTGGAGGGGTAATAACCCAATACTATGCAAAACGAGAAAAATAGTGTGCATGCAACACTATTTTAACCCAACACTCAGTTAAACGGTAACTAGGTGTCTTTCTTTGAATCCGGACCCTTTAAAACTGGTGGTGCACCCAGAATCTGATCCATTCAGGCGTGAAATTCCTTCGCGTTTTGATCCATCCATTCATTCATTTCCCTCATAAATCTCATGAGCTCGGTTTTGAAGGAATCATTATCATTATCGTTACCAGATCCGCTACCGGTCCCTCCGGCACCGTCGAAACCGACCTCATTCCTAGGGGTATTATTCTCAACTCTTCGACCCGTTTAATTTGCAGGAACGCCGAGAGGAACTAGGCCCCTTATGTTTGCATTATTAGAAGTGCCTAACAATGCTTGGTTCAACTCTATCATCACTTGATCCTGCCTTGAGAGGTGGACCATGATGGATTTTTGTTGTTCTCTTAGGATCCTTACTGTTTTTGCCACGTGTTCCTCTTTCACGTCATCGGGAGTTGGCTCCCGTACATGTCGGGGTTACCACTCTTCACGAACCGGGGTTTTCTCGCCCCCTTTGTTTCGGGTGTCACTGATTGAATCCTCATATCGAGGCAAATTTTCATCCTTAAATATTGTGTGCGATGTTGACATTATTAGCTGCCATTTTCGATTTCTTGCTAAGGAAAAAATCAAACAAGTTAGTAATAAACACAAGGATCAACTCAGTCACGCAACTGTCTAAGCCCCACGATGGGTGCCAAACTGTTTACCCGAAAAACAATACAGTTGAATTTGCTACATGGTTTATAGACAAGCGAACTGATTTGATCCAAAAATAGTAAATAAACAAGATTAAAAGTAAGTCTTAGTGATTAAGATTGAAGAAAATGACAAGCCTGGCTCCGAAAACAGCGTCTCCGAGGACAGAAATGAGAACAATATAAAAGAGCAAATAAAGTTATTTAATTGAGAGTGAAAGTAGAATACAACATAAGTTTTGCCAAGAATTCTGTTCCTTGCAATGGCTACTGAACTTGCTATTTATAGCTATACCTAGGAAAATAAGATCCTAGGATCAAGCCCTACGTAAATGACAATAAAAGAGCCATTGATGAATATGTAATGGCACGCCATGAATGTAAATATTCTCTGCAACGGCTACCCATTTAATGATAGAGAATATTCTTCATGAAATATATGCTTACAATGAAATTGCTCCCATTGACCAGGCTCCCTTCGGAATTTATCAAGTACCAACTATAGTTGTTGTTCTCGATGCTGGTAGTCACTTGATCCGTCTTTTACCTGTCTTCAATTTCACGTGGCATGCTATCATTCGACCATTTATTGCGGACCAATTTACCCGATACACCATTTAAAGGGAGGAGGGGGAGATGTGGCTTAAATGTAAGTCACAGTTGATATGATATAATCTAACGGGGGTCGAATGTAACAATAAAACAATGGAGTAACTTAAATGTTCTTTCTTTATATATATATGGAAAGTTTAGTTTGAATGTTAATAATTTTCATTAAGTATTACAATCCAAATCAGTGTTGGTTTACTAGAGAAAAAATTTTAAGAGCTCTTTTAAGTAAAACAACCGCGCAATTTCACAGGACATATCAATTTTAACCGTCTTTTATTTAAATAAATCTGATGAACATATGTAAAATATAATCCTACAAATTTGTTTGATTGTCTTCTATTCAAATAAGTTCGGTGATTATACGTGATATTAGCATTACATAGGCCTTTCTTTGACTGATATAATTCTACACATTCGATCGATTGTCTTTCATACAAATAAGTTTGATGATCATATGAGAGATTATATACTTAAATTTTCATATTTCATTCAGATTATAAGAGATTGAACTATAACTGATTGTTGTGAACCAAGATAACTCAAGTAATGTGTATGGGCCAAATATTTGGACAGAGGCTATTGGGTCGGGGGCTAAACCGCGAAGAAGTTCAAGATTTAGAAAGCCCAACAAGATATGGATCCAGTTTAAGAAAGCACGTGACTAAGTGAATAAAATGGTTATCCTCTGGGTTTGGAAGATTAGCCAAAATGTTATGTGAAAAGCTGTACTTCTCCTCTCTTTCTGCCTAAGCTTCTCATCTCCTTCTATGGTGTATTTATGTCCTCTCATCTCTCTATGTTATCCTTATTGTTTCATTGCAATTTCCAGTTATTTGTAAGTCCGTTCAGTGAATCAATATAGCTAGTTGGTTTGGTTGTTATTCCGTTTGTTACATTGGTGCTTTCATCGATCCGACCTCCAATGGCAGCTGTAGTAATTGATAAATTTAGCGGCAACAACCCAGAGGGCTGGGTTTATCAAGCAGAGAGGTACTTCAAATTCCTTGGCTTCTCCGAGGAAAACTGGTTACCTCTTCCTTACTTCTACCTTGAAGGTGAGGCCCTCGCATGGTTTGATTGGCTACATCGTAACAAACAGTTTTACGATTGGAATCACTTCAAGGAGAAATTGTTTTTGCGATTTCGAAACCGAACCTTCGCAGATTCCAATAGGAGTATGGATGATCCGTCCCTAACTTATCGTAGCTACGTTAGTTATGCTACTTTGTATCAGTCTGAAGCACAGGTATCTCCCGTACCTGATTTGAGTCATAATTCTAACTTCTATGGGTTAGAATCTGCACTCAAAGTTGGAAACTCAGAGGCGAAGCATGTGTTCGATGAAATGTCTACTGGAGTTTTCACCAAAGCAGCGGATGAAACTTCTCCTGTTAAAGTAGCATGGCAAAGCGCAGATACACATGTATCTATCACTCAATTTGTAGCTGATTTAAACAATAATCAATCGCCTAAGCTGTTCGACAAAATGTTACATAGTGGCTGTCGTAAGGTATGCGAGAGGTGCAATCAGATGCTCCAATCGAACTGCCTGATGAAGAAGCTACAATTCCTGAAAGCAGCAAAGTCCAACTGTTTGATAACAGTTCCCATAGAGATATGCCAGAGAGGTACGTTAATACGACTTCTCTTGATCGTGGCTCTACTGAACGGAAAATTGAATTTGAGATCTTGGAAGACATGTACTTCTCTGACCTTTTCATGGGACTAGAAACTATTGTGAACCTATATCTTGATACACCTTTTATGGAGAATGGGGATGGGATTTTAACAGATAAAATGCCTTCGGATGAAACGATACCGGATGTTGGTCATGGAAACGCTAGTGGGGAAGTCGAACATGATGAAGGTATTCTATTGGTGGTGAGTGTACCACATATTGCTTTCTCAATGAAATTCGATAGTACTTGTAATGATTGCTTGACCATAGTTATGGGCGATTTCAAGGAAATCCCTGAGAAATCAGCTTGTCGTATTGATAACACTTTCACTGATCAACATCTTTCAAATCAATTTCCATTTGATCCCGGTGAGTCTGTTCCTCCATCCATTATGTTCGAGAGCTTGAATATACATTTCGATATACCACACTGCTTCCCTATTGCATTGCATTCTGGTGTAGTTGGCCTCGTTGGTGGCGAGCTGTCTAATGAATTTTCCAGTTGCAAAATGGATGTACAAGCTGTTCAACCTCGGCCGCCATGCCCACTTCCAAAACCACATTTCTTGGCCTTACTATTGGATTTCTTGGCCCAGGTTGCGCATTCTGTTGTAATTACAAAGAAACTCAACTTTTATGAGCTTGTCATAATTGGTGTGGATGATTCCAATCTAATTGCTCGTCTTCGCGCTGCAAATTTCAACAGTAAAACACAACCTACAGAAGTTGCACTTGTTGCCATATTACATGATTCCAATCCAATTGCTCGTCTTCGCGCTGCAAATTTCAGCAGTAAAACACAACCTGCAGCAGCTGCACTTACTACCATATTACAGGAGTGGAGAGTATCAAAATTAAGGAGTGGGTATAAGGTGAGGCTTCACGTTGTGCACTTTGCCGGTTACACATTTTATTGTGTCATTAAAATGGTAGAGTTGGTTGCACGTCATAGGTTGCATCATGGCTTAGGTGATGCATTGGTGTATGCTATCTGCTTGAACAAGTGTATGGTTGCAGGGCAGGTTATCACTGAACTCAATTTAATAATGCTGATAATTTTTACTGTAAACCTAAAAGAGCATGGATGGTTGATAGCAGTTGCTTTAGAGAAATTTGGTGAACAGAGAGCTGCTAAAACTGTTTATTTGTACTTTAAGGTGGATAATTCTAGCTTCGACGAGTCCGACCA